GATATGTCCTTCTAGTTGTATTATTGTAGTGACCAAGGGAAATCATAATTTATCATGCTTTATCCTGCATATTTTTATTCAAATAGGGAATATGACAAAGTTAAATTCCTCACTGCCATGCTCTCCTCAGACAGAAGCTTCTCTATCTCCTAATTCTCAATATCGTCTAAAATTAGGATCTAAGCAAATAATTTCAGTGTCTCTCCAACATCCCTTATCATACAGTGTAGTACTTTGCAGAAAAGTTGTAACTAAATCAATTTCTCATCAGACTCTTTGTTCCTCAGTTAAATAATCTGTCACTCCTATTTGTGCAACACACCAGTAGATATATCATTACAGCAGTTAATGATGGTTTTAAATATAAACTGCTTCAAGTTCCTTTACCCAAGAATTTAGCAGAGTATTATATAAGTTCATGCATAATATAAAAAAATTACAATCATAAAGTACTTTTAGTCTTAACCTAAGAGCAAAATGGAGTACACTGTCTCAAACCGAAAAATTCACTGCTTACTCCAGCATCTGATCTAAAGTGCCAGCCAGTGAAAGCCTTGCTAAGGAACTGCATGATCCAAGCCTACTGAAAACAGACTCTCAGAGGGAAAGGTACGTATTTCAACAGTTTACTCAAGCCTCATTTAGAAACATCTCTGTTACGTTGCAACAATGATTAAAGCAAAATTAGGTTTAGGGAGGCATTATGCATCCTCGATGACCTACACTGCCTGTGAAATTAGACAGTGTTTATTAAAAAGCCAGTGTTTATTGAAAAGGAACACTGCGAGTTCCTTTGGAATGAACAGCTGTAATCACCAAAAAAGTAAAGAAAAGACTAGTCAGAAAAGAGGCTTCTAAATGGCACATATATATAACCATTGTTTGTTTAGAAGCTAAAAGCAAGCTTTGGTGATACACACAAATTCCTCACGCTTAAGTCAAATGATTCACTGTTTGATCAAATATTTAATTTTAGCAAACTAAATTGAGGAAAGAACCAGATTGGCATGGCAAGGATCTGATGATACATAAGTGACTGGAAAATCCAGACTCATAAATAAACTCTGAATTGAGCCTGCACAGAATTCTTGGGGCACAGTGTCTCATCACACATATGATGCATACCGTGTCAGAGAAAGGCAGAGCAAATGCCAACATTGCTCAAGCGCCCTGCTGGAATGTTTTCAAATAATATTACTATCAGTTTTAGCTGACTACAGTACCTTATAGTTGCCAGAACTGAGCTGAAACTATTCATACTGTGTTTTCAATCAACTTCCTGCTGACTGCCACCATTTGAAGAATGGAATTCATTTGTTTTACGTCTATTAACATATTTCCTTCTTTTCTGGCTCTAAGGCACTAAATGCAGTGCTATGGCATCAGTCTGGACAATAAAAAGATAACCAGCAGCCACTACAGTACAAATAGTATTGTAAAAGTATTACCCTTTCTGACATACTCTTTTCATAGCATATGCTACCAGCTTACAAGGCCCTTCTATGCATACAACCATTTAACAGTAGTATCTCCAGCCCTCTTGTTTCACTCACAAGTAAAACCTTCATGGAGATATTTAAAAGCCAAAGGAAAATTGACAACATGTAGGTCATTAAAGAGTCAGCCTCATCTCTAATAACCAAAAAGGTTTAACTGGAATATAATACATTCAGTAATATTTCCATGTATTCATAAAATCTTCAACCTTGAGCTCATATACACCATAAGAGGAAGTCTTCTGAAATCTAGTAGTCTAAGAAAAATTAAACATTACATGATTCTATAACTCTCTGGTCTGATAACCAGGAAAATTAACCAAGAAAGCATTTTTCCAGGTCATAAGAATCAGAAGTTAAGTACAGCATACTTTAGATGAAGTAATCTAAAGTAAAAACTTGCATACTGAACCCTTTCCAATTTTTGTACATTAAGACTACTCCAATAAATAGTGAGATAGTTGATAATGACTGACGCTGAAGATACAAAAATAGGGAGAAAAGGGAGCAAAATATTTCCAAACACTAAGTTGTACGAATTTTTCAAAAATAACATGAATACTAATGAGGTTTCCCAATTGAGACTATCTAGGTAAGTGAAATGATTTTGTAAAATATAAAGATCATCTCAGTGATTCATTTAAACTTTACTTGAGCAGAAATGACAGACTGGAGATTCTAAAAAGAAGGGCAAGTCTGCAGATTTAAGGATGGATTCCATTCCTTCAAAAAAGGCAAGCAAATGTTAGTTGTTGACCTTAAGCAGATGTTTCAGAAGCTCTTAACAGCCTCACTCCGAAGTATCTTCTTTCAGCTGTTCATTTTTCAGTCTCTTAGATCTTGAAACATCAAGAGTTTAGTAGTTTTCCAGTCTCTAAAGATTCTTGAAACCTAGAGAATCTGAATTTCTAATATAAACCCAAGTATTTTAAAAGAAGAACCCCTCCAACTTCAATGCAATAGTACATACTAGTCTGCTCCTTTCATCTCTTTGCATGCCATCACTATCAACATGTGTCTCTGGAGCCACTTCTATCTCTGTTCAACCAATAGGCAAGGTTTAGCACAGTAACCCACAGCTTAATTTAATTTTAATACTTCTTTCAGTCTTTTCCTTAATGTTTCCTGTCACTGTGGCTTACTGCAGAAAGCATGTATCTTACTACAAGAAGTCCTGTAAGCATCAATAAAATCAATTAAAAAAGCCCCAAAAACGCATCATCTTTTTACTTGGTAAAATCTAGACCTTATTGTTTGATCTGCAGACACAGAATTGCTCTGCTGCTTATCTGGCTTGGGCTCACTCAAAAAGAGCTGTGAAAGGGCTCTCAACCATTGCACTGACAAGGACCAGAAAACATATTTACTGCTCCTCTACACTACCTTATTTATAAATTCAGTGGAAATTACTACATTAAATTACAAGTTTCAGAACTTTTCATAGCTTTAAATGTCCTGGCCCAATTTTCCAAAATGTGACTTGACAGATATTAAGATGACACAAAAGTCACAGGTAAGACACTGTCTTAAGACGTGTCACCGGTCATAACCGTAGCAGAAATCAAGAGCAGCAGAATGTCAACTTCAAACAAATATGTCTTTTTCCTATCACAACTTACCTTCAGAAAGTTGCCATAAAACTGTAACCCCTCAAGAACTCCTGACAGTGCAATTTCAATAGAAAGGCACATCTGTACTGATTTACCAGACAACAGTTCAAGCACTAGCAAGACCTAGATAAATAAGGTCATGTAGTCACTTTTTCAAGACTGAAAAGTACAGCAATCAAGTCTGGAAACTGACAGAACAGTTTTTTTAAGTGGAAAAATAGATATCTGCTTTGCCACTATGCACTGAAATGCACCTGGCAGACACTTAAAAACAGGCATTCAGTGTATTAGTGGGGAAAAAATGAGTGTTTTGTTCCACACCACTATCTTTCAAAATTATCATATGAAAACACCCCTGCATGGATGGCACTCTGAAGGGGAAAAAAAAAAAAAAGGGAGGGCAAAAATATACCATTTGATATCTGCTTGTGCCCAGAGAAAAAGTTCACTTTCAACTTTCTACAATTCTCCCATAAGTATCACATTACAGAAGTCAGTGCACTGCATTAGAGATAGCAAAAACTTGTCCACTACTTTACAAAAAATAATCAGACACAAATATGGGAGCCTAACAAAAAAAAAATAAAATAAAATGGACTGTATTTATTATCTGTTTTGCAAGATGACTCCAAACAGTGCCAAGGCATTTGTTGCAACTCATGCTTCTGTCATCACTCAAAAATGAGATTTAATTTACAATCCTGCCACTTTAACAAACCGACCAAATGCACAGTTACATCACTAAATCACTCTTACTGCATCTTTCTCTCAGCCTCCACTTCCCCAGAGTACCTTAAACTGCATGACATAAATCCCAAGAAGGTACAATCACAGAGAAGTGTAAATCTCAGGTGGGCTGTCAAAAGTCTATTTAGTCACATATTCCTTGAATTTTTCATAAATAAGAACATTAGGGAATAATGCTGCTGTGATAGACACTAAAGACATTTTATGATGATGTGTATCTGCTAGACCCTCTCTCATGATACATCTGATTAAAAAGAAAAAAAATCAGTAATGGAAATATCTTCAACAGACGCGACCCTAGAGGTGGTAGTTTAGAAAGGAACAGTTTAATTATTTTTTTTTTCACCTCTGGCAAACAGAAATTATCCCTACCTCCTTCTTCCTCAAAGGATATCAGCAAGCAGCTAACAAGGGCCTTATCTATTAAGAACCACTTCACTTTCATAAGGTGGAGAAAGAAGTATGTTTTTGTCTTTAGCTTTTTTCCCTCATTAGTTATGCTGCCCTGAGTGATTTGTAGCGACAGTTCTCCGTTCCCGGGAACGGGGAAGGGATGCGCCAGGGACACCCGTCAGGGCGCCCAGGGGGCCGCATTACTCATCTGCGCCTTAGAGGACCTAAAGGCAGGCCCCGGAGCACAGCCCACAGCCCCAGAGGAGGGGCGGCCCCTCCAGGAAACCTGCGTGCCTGGGGAAGCGGCCGGACCGCCCCCGCCGGGCTGCCGGGAAGGCCGCGGTGTCCGGGCGGCGGGGGGGCCGCGAGCGGCCTAAGCACCCCCTCCCCCTCCGCGCCCAAGGGCAGCGCAGCCACCTCCCCTCCGGGCACTCGCTGCCTCTAAGCCAGGAGCCGCCGATGACACCGCGGTCCAGGGCCCCGGGGACCGGGCACCCACAGGCAGGGAGACAACCCTGTTCCGAGGGTGGGAACTCCCGCGGCCCGCTCGGCAGGGGCTCGGGACCGCCCCCTCCCCGCGGCGAGCTGCTGGCTCGGCCCCCGTGACCGGGGCCAGCGCTCGGGGTTAGGACTTGGCCCGTACCCACCCCACCCCCCCCCGCCCGGCCGCGGCCCCCCGCCACCTCACCCTTCGCCTGGCCGCCCGTCCCCCTCCGTCCCTCTCCGCCCGAGCCCAGCCCCGGGCCCGGCTCACCCCCAGAAGCCGCATGGACAGCGCGGGGGCAGACTGGGTGCCTTGCTGCGCTCGCTGCCGGCGTCTCCCATGGTGGGGCCAGGGCGCGGGGCGGAGGGCGGGCGGGGGGCGCGCGGCTCCCGGCTGGGATTCCAGGCCGGTCAGCTGGAGCCGGGTGACACCACTGCACAGGCAGCGGAGGGGAGGGCGCGGGGGGGGCCCGGCCGCACCCTGCCGATGCGGCGGGCGGGGCGGCGGGGCGGCGGGGGGGGGGCC